TGGTTCTACAAAGCATGTAAATCTGTCCAACATAATTGCATATAATTCTACACTGCATGCAAATCTATTCAACCAATTTGCATGTACTTCAAAACTGTATCTAAATCTATTCACCTTATTTGCGTGTAGTTCTACATCGCATGCAAATCCGCCTTCTACCATTGTCCCCGGGTCCGTCCCTTATGGAACCATGTCGGCGAGTTGACGGCTCGTCTCGCTCCCGAAAATCTTGTGCTCGTTGATCGCGCATACGCGTGTGACAATGTGTTGTCCTCAGTCTTTCTCATCAGGATCTAATCCAATTCTTTGAGCATCACCTCAAGATGAAGATTAGAACTGACAGAAAACGCTTGCATTCGACAGTCTTCAGCGAAAGGTGGGTAAAAGAGGCGAGCTTGGTTCGTTTGAACTGGACTAGCCTTGATTTTCTCTTTTAGGTCAACCTACGTCACATCGAGGTGGTTTCCTCCCCTCTCCTTGGTTAGGTTAGACAAGCTTTAGGGTACCTAGTTAATGTAAGTGTTGTTCCTGGCCTGTATCCCGGTCGCCTCTTTGGTTATGATTCAAGTCGAGATTCCCAACCTCCCCAGTTTGTTTTGGCCCCCTTTTTATCTCGACTGGGTCAGCTTTATATTTTCCCATTCCCGTATAATATTTTATCCTTTTCCCACTCCCTTAGCGAGAGAGCCTCTTGATTTTGTCTAATGGGCAGAATACAGCGGCCTCTCCGTTTTGAGGGTTGGACGGGCCCTACTAACATCCGTTATGTTTAGTTTACTTTGTGTTGAGTTTTAGTTTTATTATTCGGTTCACTCCCTCCCCTCTCATTCTTCATTATTAGAATTTTATATATATATTTATTATCATTAAACTTTTAAAGCATGCAAGCGCGTTTTGTAGGTTTCCCCTTGAGAGGATGTGGTATTATGGTGGATGGGGGATTGATTGGTGACGGACGAATTCTTATGGTGAATGTGGAAGCTGTAATGGGTCGTGAATCAGATTAGCTAAGTATAAGATAGTGTCGACCAGCCTTAACCCCCTCCTCATTTTAGCCTTGTGTCACAATTGCATTTTATATACAATAAATATCCTACATCGCATGCAAATCAGTCCAACTTATTTGTATGTATTTCAAAACTGCATGCAAATTTGTTCAACCTATTTGCTTCTAGTTCTAAATTGTATGTAAATTTGTTCAACCTGTTTGCATGTTGTTCTACACTGCATACAAATCTGTTCACCCTATTTGCATGTACTACAAAACTACATACAAAACTGTTCAACCTATTTTAATGTAGTTCATTTGTTTACATTTGATACGCCAGAGCAGTTATGAATGTACAAGATTCATGGAAGATTGAAGTTTATAAGCAGTAAATTCGACCTTGTATATGGGATATGTATAGATGGTCTACATCAGCCTTTGGATGATGCATGTTATGCTTAGAAAAAAGCTTTCTTGTGTGGTGGTGGTGGTGGTGGCATAAAGAAATACCTCTATTATTCTACTTATTCCAAGCAAAAACAGATGTTCAGTTTTAACAAGTAAAACTGACTGCATGCAAATCAGTTTAACCTATTTGCATTTACTTCAAAACTGCATGCAAATTTGTTCAATCTATTTGCTTCTAGTTCTACACTGCATGCAAATCTGTTCAACCTATTGTTATTCTACACTGCATGCAAATCCTTTCTTTTCAAATATTAATTCAGTGTCGTTTTCTTTCTCTTCAAATCATTCAGGAAAATATAATGTCGGACAAAACCTAGCCTACGGATACAGTACATGGGAAGATACGATGAAAGCCTGGTATGACGAATACAAAGATTTTAACTATGGAAAACTCAAGCATAATGGAGTTGTTGGCCATTACACGCAGGTATATCCCAAAACATTATAAAAGTGAATAGAATCAAATATCGCTGCTCTATCTTAGCTGGGGCTGCCTATGTGCCACCCTCTAGCCTTCAAAAACGTTTATGACAGCGTTAAAAAGGATCAATTAATTCCCACCCTACAACTTCTTTCCCGCAGTCGAAAGATTGCTATCCTCTATCGCTGCTTTCATAGGAGACTTTCAGTCAAGGTACGTTCATCAGTACCACCAGTTCAAATTTTCCCCATTAAGATCCACCAGGGTCGAGTCATCCTAATTCTCTTCATATTCTACTTGTAAGGAGGAAGTTTCCTTCAGACATCTTCTTCCCCAGGACTGTTTACTTTGTGGAACAGGCTCACAAGACCGTGCTAAATCTGTGGAGAACATACTACCACATGATAATGTCTCGCCGGTTCATCATTCCCATCTCTCGAACAACTTGCTGAATCTTCTGGTCAGTGGTAGAGGTAGGCGGACGTCTTGCTTCTTCTTCGGGCGTCACGCTTGTCCGGTGACTTTTAAGCTTCTTGACTTATTCAAGCCTAGGGTGAGCCGTTATTGCTCCTACATATCCTCATAATGAGCACTTCTTACTTCCCCTTTTACGCCATTACAACAAACTGATTCTCTACCTTGAGTGGCACTCACGCCTTGCATTGAGTGAAAAATAGTATTAAAAATTATTTTCGCTTTTGCATACACTCATATATCCACACTTATACAGAGGTATATCAATGTCTGTCGCCTAATGACGGAAAAATTATATTTACTTTTGTTTGACAAAGAAGGAGATTATGTTGCTTTTTGTAGTTGTTTTTAATCATTTCACCCAAGCAAGATAACAAAGCCACTAAGACGCATTGAGGTTACTGAGTGTGAAAGAATATGAGAAAAACATAATTAAGGAGGGAGGACAATAAAAGAACAGCAAATAAGAAGACAAAAAATAACGTTTGACATTGAATTTAAAATTTTGAAGATTTGACTGGCAAGCAAGACTGAAAAAGAAATTTCAACATAATCTCATCTCAAATTGCATAAGAATAAATCAGTAAAGTTAATGCAATTAATGACGAATTCACTTCGCTAACAGATTAAATAAAGCATTAACTCTCTGACCACTCGCTGAACGACACGATCCTTGTTTTTATCAATTTTACAATGGATTAAATGTTCGATCCATATTGTTCGCAAGTACTTTCGGTTAAAACATCCACCATCTTCAGACATAGATGTTATTTTTTCCTCAATTTCAGGTAATTTCTGATAAAAATTCCAGGACGAAAATCAATGTGATACTTGTCGAAAGATGTTTTATCAAAAAGTGTGCTGCTATTAACAGTTAAGAATATGAATCGAACATCTAATCCATTGTACAATTAATAAAAATGAATCGTGGTCAGTAAGTTAATGCCTTCTTAATCTGTTAGCGAAGTGAATTTTCCATTAATTACATTAACTTTATTGATTTCTTTTTTGAATGCCTATTTTACGATATATATATATATATATATATATATATATATATATATATATATAATTAGAATTACAAGTAAAAGGTTTGTCACTTAGCTAATTGATGTTACCTTCAGGATCCGACTCCAGAGGCCGTCCGTCCGTCCACTCGTCAGGGGATATCACAAATTTACTGCTTATATTTCTCGATTTTTCTTTTTTTTTATATGCATATGTGTATGCGTTTGCACGCGTGCGCCCGTCTGAGCTGATGTGCATTGTTTAAAATTTTTATAAAAAATTTAAAATTTTATAGATAGTTAAAAAAAAAAAAAAAAACTGGTCTGTTGAGCGCTTAAGTGAGAGACCCACATTTCTATCCAGTATGTGTGAGTTAATAAACAAAAGGAACGAAATTATTTCAAACTGACGGCAGCTTGAGATATTGATTTTGCAAAACGGGAAAATAACAATAGAATAGATATCGAGAGGTTTTTTGCGGGGGTAGGGGGTTATTGATTCGTTTTCTCCGGTTTATCAACCCTTTTGCAGGTTATTTAAAGCCAGAAAATATTTTAAAATTGTAAGAAATTTTTGTGGGGTTTGGAGGGCGAAATAAAAATGGTTTAATGATACAAGTCTTACCATAGCTGGGATGGGAAGATGTTATGGTAATTTACCCACACACGCAGTGACTCTCCCAGCTATAAATAGGAGCAGGTACTGCCTTTTGGAGAGAGAAGTTTCCAGCAGTTAGCTCTGACAGTCGGACCGAACATTCTTGCTGTAACACTGTCATTTGTATATGTTTGTATTACTGTTTCTGTTTATATATTTGTTTAACTCAATTCCTCTCTTTGTGTCTTTATTTCTGGCCCTAACTACGCCACAACAGAAAAGGTGAATTCAGACCTAATCAGAATTTGATAAACAACAAATTATAATGTTAATATGAAGTGGAGGATCAATTCTATATTACAACAATATATAAACTGATCCTTCACTTTGTGGCCATTGTAGTTTCTATAGATTTGTATTGCAGAGAATGTAAATAAATCCGAAATAAATGCTTAAATTTCTGATAACGGTTACATCTAGCCATTTCAACTATAAAATAAGGAGATCTTGCCATTAATCCGAATCTGCGCTTAAATTCATAAAATCTCGTTACCAGAAGGGAAAGTTCATCAGAATAATAACCATGAAAATATTTATAGAAAATGCACTGGGTAGCTCAATTACAGCAGTGGGGAAGAGATTGAAGCCGAGATGCCAGGTCAAGACCAATAACATTGCTAATTCTTCTTTCTATTTTATCTAGAATCTCTAAATATATAGCAGAATCATCTGAGCAGTTTGATTGTTGACTGATTCGTTTTCTACGGCTATTCAACCCTTTGCTAGTTGGTTATTTAAAGCCAGAAAATATGTTTATATTGTAAGAATATTTGGGGGAGGGAGGTGAGGAGAGATAATAATTATTTAATGATATAATTCTTACTAATTAACCCACAGCTGGGGGAAGAAGAGATGGATCCATACCTTACCAAGGGTTTTCTGCGTGTAAGTTAATATTCCAAAACAGCCTGAAAATTGGAACTCGGCTTTCCGATTAAATATTCAGAGCCATTATTCATTAACACCATCCTCACACCCAAGCTCACAGCATTTGACATTCCAGCGGTCATCCATCTAGGTACTAACCAGGCCCAACATTGCTTAGCTTTGGTGATCGCACAGGAAACAGTGTTTCAACGTGATATGACTATAAGCCAGATCTTGAGAGCGTTAATTAAACTGACACCCATTTTGAAAAATCGCAAATTGTAATTGTATTAATGAGTTTTTACTTATGATTTTCAGATGGTATGGGCCACAACGACAAGGATTGGATGCTATTTTTCCAACTGTAAAACAATGCGAAGATTTTACGTCTGTAACTATGCACCAGGGTGAGTTTAGGAGTCAGATTATTATAAAATTATATGAGTTTAGGAGTCAGATTATTATAAAATTATATGAGTTTAGGAGTCAGATTATTATAAAATTATATATATTTACTGCTTTGAATATCTGAGAAAGTGAAAATATAACGAATATTTCGAAAAGCGCAAAAGGAACCTGTGATATAATAAAATTTATTAAACAGATACGTGAAGATTTTCATTCGCCCAAAAGATTATAGATATAGCTACCTCTAAAGATTCTCTAAAAAAAAATGAGTATATATGATGAAAAAATGGCCAAAACTTAATAAAAAAAAAAGTTTTATCGTCAAAATATGTGTCATTATTAAGAGGAAAGACCAATTTTTATGTAAATTCTTTTTTCATTTTTTTTTTTAATCCTTTTAGAAACGCCGAAATTTTGGTTAAAAATCTTGTTCTGACGTCAATGTGGAGCGTTGTATGGGAAATTTAGGTGAAAAATACATTGGTTTGGAAATTCTTGCAAAAATCAAATAACTGTCGGACTTTTAAACTAAACTTTCAAGGCTTATTCACAAAGGAAAGAAATTATTTTAGAACGATTATTTTTTTAGATCTTTCTAAAAAGACTTTTACATTTGTTACCCCACACGTACCTAATTTATGGAATCTCGAGAAATTCTTTTCTTAGCGCTTAATGTTTATATTTATATTAAGACGTAAGTGAATTTAAATCAACAAATGTTTTTGGTCAAATAGGACCCACATTTAGAGAAAATCTGCTCTGAATCGTAAAATAAAAATGCAATAAAAATAAGACATTATTTAAATAGAAATACGAATTATGAATGAAATGTATTATGAATACTATTGTCTTAAGAAGAAAAAATTACAATGAATAAAGAATTTTTATAAGAATTTTTTCATATTTTTTTAAAACTTTAATTAGAATAATTTATAAACTTTTAAAATTCTGTATTAATTTGTAACGGTCAAGTGATATAGTTATTAAATAAAAACTATATGTACTAAGCATAAATGGAAAAGCTTTCTACAATTCAGCGACCTCCAGTATTTCAAAAAGAATTTTGAACTTTTTAATGTGTGTGTAGATGTTCAGATTTTTGCAAAAACGGACGACATTTTCAGAAAATAAGATCGGCAATTAGTAAATTTAAAATTTATTGGTTATTTCTTAACATTTCCGTTGAAATCACTTTGTAAGACTATGAAGTCAAAGAACCTAAAATCAATAATATATATATATATATATATATATATATATATATATATATAATGAATAAATAAAAACAAATCTTTTGTGGTGTAGTTAAAAAATGACCGTATATACTTGTGTATCCTGCGACTTTTGAAGACCTAATTTTGAAGCTAATTTTAAGGAGGTCGCATCTTACATGAGATATAAAATTAGCGTATATACTGCTGGCCCTGTCTACGCTGTTGATCAAACTATATATCCACTGACTGTAGTCAAATTATCTTAAAAAATGAAGTCTTCAAAGGTTGCATGATACGCGAGTATATACGATATATAAAAAGACGTTAATTATCCATTATGTACAGGACCGGATTTAAATGAAGAGAGACCCTAGGCTATTCAGCTTGCGAGGCCCCCTCCAAATCCCCTATTCTCACGATAAAAGGAAAATGGAAGAGTGTTAAAGGATGATGACGGGTGTTTACACTGCGTTATGACAGAATGTATAAGAAAGGCCTATGACAGTGTCCAGAATATTATACAACTTAGCTGGAGGCTCCCTAGATTTTGACGCCCTAGGCTTCTAAGCCTATAGATAAATCCGGCACTGATTATGTCATTTTATATCTATTATGCGCCCCTTATTTAAATTTCCCACCAATCAGGCCCTCAATTCATCACTCATTATGTCAAAAAACTACCCGAAACCGTCTTTTCTGCGATATTTTTTTTAACTAAAAGTAATATGTCTTTCAATTCGGATTAATTAAACTTTAATTCAGTTAATGTTTCTCAAATAACCTTTCAAAAAAGTATATTTTATTTTTGAAAGTTTTTTTTTTTTTTTTTATGAAAGAGGATTACGTTGTTTTGACAGATTTATCAATAAGGACGAATTTATAGATTTTTCTAATAAGCAGAAAGATAATTTCAATCATTTAAAAATTGGTTTGAAATAGACCAAAGTATTTTGCTTTTTGGGAATATTAAATTTAAGCTTGAAATGAAAACTAAAATAAAATCTTCAAGGGATATTTCAATTTTAAAAATGCATTTCAAGCCTTAAATATGTCAAAATTTTCATTTACTTAAATGGTATATATATATATATATATATATATATATATATATATATATATATATATATTTAGCATTACGCCTCGAGCAAGGCGTGAAGCCACTAGGATGCAGGGGGTTGCAGAAGATTTGGAGCGAGAGCAGATAGGAGTGATAGAAGAAAGGATGAGGAGAGGGATAGTGGATAGATCAAGGCAACTGGAGGTGTCGATTGACATTACATTTGAATAGTTGGAGATTATAGCTCTCAGGGAAACAGTAATTGGGAAGGGTGTTCCACAGGCGCGAGGCGCGAAGTGCGAGGTATGAAGCTATCGGAGTAGAAGAGACGGCTACATTTAAAAGTTTCTACAGTGTAAGGGTGGGAGCTGGATGCCAGCCTCGTAGGGCGCTTGAATTCATGGAGTCTGGGAACCAGTGAAAGCAGCTCATCGGAGCAATTACCATGAAAGTATTTGTAGAAAAGACAGTGAGAGGCGACGGCGCGTCTGTGAGAGAGTGACTGTAGACGAGACGCCAAATCAGGGCCAATTATATTACATATCCGTCTCTGGATCTTGTCAAGAACTCCGAGGTAAACAGAAGGTGCCCCAGACCATATATGGCAGCAATACTCCATGCAAGAGCGAATGGTTGATTTGTATATTTGAAGTATCGATTCCGGGGAGAAAAATTTCCTGGCACGGCACAGAGAGCCAACTTTCCTCGCGGTGGAAGAAGCAATTGACTCAATATATTTGTTCCATCTCAGGTCAGCAGTCAACGTGAGACCGAGCAGACGCAGGGAGTTGCTCTCAGGAAGATGACTATCAGACATTTTAGGGGGGGCAGGGAAGGATCTCTATGGTGGTTAATGGAGAGTAGTTTAGTTTTTGAGGCGTTAAAGTTGACCAGCCAATTCTTGCCCCAGTTAACAACGGATTGAAGGTCCATTTCAAGACGCACGGCCAGGTTAGTTTTGTCGCCGACACTAGATTTGATGCCAACTTCGGAATCTATGGCGTCAGGAAAAGAGTGGGGCCAAGGATGGAGCCTTGGGGAACACCTGCGTTCGTGGGATAGGAACTGGAGGAGAATCCGTTGAGAACGACCTTCAATTCTCGGTTTGACAGAAATGATTGTATTAGATCAAACAGTCGACCAGTAATACCATAACCCTGGAGCTTACGAAGAAGGCCGGCATGCCAAACCCTATCAAACGCTTTGGAGATGTCTAGGGCCACGGCACGAGCCTCACCGTTATTTTGAAGGGCTATATATATATATATGCTCGGGTTGAGAAATCGGAGAGCCGAGTTAGAATTCCAGTCGAATCCATTACTTATGTACCAGTACCCTTGGGAAAGGTATTAATCTTAGTCTTTTCCCTCCAGCTATGGGTAAATAGCAGGACAGACTGGGTTCCATAGCCTTAGATGGCAACTGGTCTAGGGGAAGGACAACTCTGAATTCAAAACCTGCGGAAAGTCGCTTGGGGAAGTTGTATTCTGTATTCGGCCCTTCAAAAAGTGTGGTTGGTTCTGCACAAAGCCTTCACCACTACAATCGAATCATATGTGCTGGTGTCTGGGCTGTCAGTTACTAGGAAATGAGTTGCTTGACCCACATACGTCGAATACGACGGGAGAGTCCACCATATATATATATAAATACTTTTATTTATTAAGAAAATATATCAAAACTTTCATTTATTCAAATAATTTCAAATATGAGGTTTATTGAATACATACATCAAAACAATTTTCATTCTAATACTTTCATATACAGTAATTCAACATATTCTTTTTATAGCTAAACTAAAAAAAAGACAAATAAAGTTACTGTAACTTTGTGGCAAATTATTTTTATCCCGATATCCACTGGTATGCTTTTGACTTTTCTTATCGTCACTATCTTTAGCGCCACTCCACCCTTCCACTTTTAATTAACGAAGTCCAGAAGGGAATATACAATAATTTTACGAATGAAGGATTTCGTCTCATATTGTTATTAATCTTAAAAAAAGGATAATATTAAAGTCACAAACGAAAGCAAACGTAACTGACAAGAAGGCTGCCATATTTGATCACCCCCACCTTTTCTTCTTTCGTTGTTTGTCATCCATTATTGCAATTTGGAAATCGTTTTCCCAAACACTATTTATTAAATTTCCACCAGATACATTGTCTTCCAGTTTCTTTTATATTTGAACTTATTTCGGGTATATATGTTTATTGGCTTAGCATTTTGAAAATATTTGAACTTATTTCGTACATCATGTAGATTATCATGAACAAGTCGATTCATTCTTGTGATCTCGCCGTAACGTATACTATTAAAAATGAAACTTTTGTTTTTCTATCTTTCAGGGGCAATTTCGCTGCCCGACAGCCTTATAAAAGATGCCAATTCGGAGGAAGACTGAAGGGTATAAAATTCAACGTTTTTTCTATGAATATTTAACGAAAAGTGACCTTGTTTATGATTGCATCAACACTGTCTTAAATTTTTATCGCTATTTATGTTATTTTTAGCAGATACCCATATTTAAATGGATGCTCTGTT